ATTCATCATGGCACTGCCAGCTACATATAAAAAGTGTTGTTATTAAATTTCTCAAAGAAGAGAAAATTTAAAGATATGGTCTATCAGATGCATTCAACTGGCTTCGCTTCGTCTGAGCTTCTGTTATTCAACTATTTTAAATATCTACTTAGATACAATAAATTTAACTAAGCAACAGCCGAGTAATCAGTTTGACATATATCGATGAATACCAAAAGATTATTCAAAAAAAAATCGAGCTTGCTATCAAACATTGTTGTGGTGTCTTCTAACGTTTGATGTAGACAAATAAATACAATGTGCTTTTTAGTGAAGAAATATTAATAGTTCTCAGAACATTTTGATCTTCTTCTCCTATGTATTTTGTCTGTCGAATATATATATAATAATTGATTTAAAATGTTCTTTCGTGCATGAAATTATGCGTCTATCGTTGACGAGTCTAGCACATGACCCATGCTGACATAGAACCAGTCTTGTCACCTTTTGATGTTCAAAAAGCAGAAAGCATATTTTTCATAGCAAATATCCTTTTAAGTTTTAACTTAATCAAGTAATGAGATAATGTCATAACAATCTCCTATCTTTACTGTATAAAATCAAGAAAAAAAATCGAATTAAATACAAAAGTAAAATTATTGAATACATTTTCTTTTGAACGTGTATCTTTCATCTGATTTAATAACTTTCAATAAATCTTGGGCGTGTGGGTGAAATTAATATCTATCAGAGATGGGATCGGTTCAGTTTGAGATTTTTAGATTTGGCTTCAAAAAATATGAACCGATTTCATCACTGATATTCACGTCCACATCAAAATATGATAGAAAGAAAGACATAGGTAAGGAACAGAGTCAAAACGAAGAATATAGATTGGCAGTTTTTTATAACCAGCAAAAAAACAAGAATTTTGCTTATCTTAGAATAAGAATAAGACAAAAACGTCAGCGGATATTAATATTCATTTATTTCACATTTTTGAATAAAAAATATAGTATAATATAATAAATGTTGGTTAAAAATATAACAGATAAGAAGTGTGAAACAGTAGAAACGACAAAAAAAAGTAGAATTTTTCTGCAAGAGCATAAGAGAGAGCAATACAGCATAGAATAACGAACATATAATGAAAAATAAAAGAGAAAAAAAAATAGATAATTATAAAGAATATTTTTCTTTTCATCAGCATTTGACACAGTTTGAAATTATTTTTTGTCTTCATTATTATTTGACATTTGCTAAAAGAAAGTATGTCAAGTGAAGATAACAGTTCTCACGAAGATATATTGGAATTATCTGCTGAAATCCACATTTCTTATCCAGTTCGTTTTTGGATTCTTCTTCTCTTTTACATTCCATCAGTCATATGTTCTTTATTCATTTTTTATAATTTTATTATCCATCGACAATTACGTCATGCTTTACATAATCATGTTATTTTTCTTCTTCTTTTCATCAATCTTATTGTTCAACTAACGGGCATTCCATGGATTCTTAATTATTATCGTTTAGAATATGTATGGCCACAAAATCCTTCCTTTTGTCTTACATGGATTTTTATTGATGAAGCTTTATATATCACAACAACACTTCTCTTTGCTTGGGCAACCATTGAACGGCATATTCTCATTTTTCATGATCATTTAGTATCAACGAAATATAAACTTATTTTCTTTCATTATTTACCAACAGTCATAATTATTCTCTATTGCATATGTTACAATATTATTACAATTATTGTTCCACCATGTGAAAATACATATGATTATACACAACTAGCATGTGGTTATCCTCTTTGTTATTATGAAATACATTTCGTAGCAACGTGGGATGTTATAGTTAATGATATAATACCTACAATAATAATTATTTTCTGCAGTATTGCTCTTCTTGTACGTGTTCTCTATCAAAAATATCGAATGCATCAACGAATTCATTGGCGACAACATCGAAAGATGACAATTCAGTTATTATCAATTTCACTTCTGTATCTACTTTTATATATACCAAAGATGTTAATGGAATTTATTTATCTCTGTGGTGTTCCTGAAGACTTTGGTGCCCACTTTATGGCATATGCAGAATTCTTTGCATATTATGGCAATTTTTTTTTACCTTTTGCATGTGTTGGATCAATGCCTGAAGTTAAAAATAGCATTAAGAAGATATTTCCATGTTGGCGACAAACACGAGCAGTTGGCCCTCCAACATTCACATTGACTCGTCGTACAATTGGTCCACAAACATTAGCATTGTCGCATCGTACAGTGGGTCCACAGTTAAGAACAACAATTCATGTTCCATGATCATTGTTGTGTTGTCTAATAAATAAAACATACAGCTTATTTTCAGAGTATTGTTATCAATAACATGAGTAATGATAATCATGAAAATGATTTAAAAGAGTTTAGATATAAAAATATATATCAACTCGTAGTTTGCTATTCTTTTCGCTGATTACAATCAAGTCAATAGACAAGTTCATTGCTCTGATTACTATCAGAAGTTCTAGAACAGAATGTTGTTCATGTACTCTCTGCTGAACATGATGATAAAAGCAAAAAAAACATATTTTTGTCTTTTAATCATGTCCGCATGTTTAATAAAAGTCAGATTCAATATTTCTATCGATTGTATGTGCATACATGGTATTTGCTTATCTTTTAGAAATTTATATGAAATGAGATTTGAATATATCATCAAGTGTAAAAAAAACAAAGTTCAACATATTTTTATAATTTAAATCATTATTTCGTGAATTTTTTTTGTGGTAATAATTCTTTATCAAAACGTTCAATTGGAACAACAAACTGAACAATATTGACCTTTATCAGAAATAAATTTGCAAAATTACAATTTAATCGATTGTAATGTGGAAATTATAGTAAAAATAAAAGCAATTATCAACAAACAATATGAAAACTTTTTTTTATCATCAAATAAAACTACATTAGAAGATGCTTCAATTCTAGCAACATCATTGATTAATAATACAATATTGGAAGTACTTCCAATCAAAGACGAAAGTTTAATAAACACGTGTGTTTGCAGGAAATTTTTTGCAACTTTCATTTACTTGCAAAATATTTTTCAAATCGGTGAATCTCATGCATGAATATATTACAATTGTTGCACATCAGTACAAGACAAAAGCGCATGCATAGACGCGCATGTTGTAAACACAAACATGGAAATACAACTTTTTCAAATTTTTAAGAAAAATATGATAGCTCGAGGCTGAATTGTATCCTTGAAAATAGTTGCATGCAACATTCTCACATGTTTATACTAATGTGTCATTGGCGGCCGTACACCTATAAGATGATTAGAATTTTAGCACTTCTAATGTAAGTAGATAGCCGAATGGTGAAGAAGTTGATCGTATAAAGCAAAGTATGTTTGTTCAAACCTTATCTCTGAAAAAAAACTCCTATGTGTCCTTGTATGTTTGTTACATGCAGAATATTTCATAAGTCTTGAGACGCAACAAAATTAATTTATATATAAATATAGAACAACCTCTAGTCGAATGTTTATTATATGAGCCTCGAGCATCTGTGCCACTCTTTCAAATGATATATTATTTGATAATAATGTTATGTTCTCTTTTAATAGTAAATATATAAAGATGAGAATATAAGAATAAATTTTTCGCCATCGATCAACAAGATATTTTATTAAAAAAACGAACAACATTCTTATATGTTAATTTGATTATACAAAAATATCGCTTTACTATCATATATTTGTTTTCTACCACTTTTTATTAATTGACTAAGCCTCTTAGAGATTTTATCAATCATTACTAGTTATAATTTTTTCATTGTTTATTCAATCTATTGCCCATTTCAAAATATAATGTTCACCACTGTTTTTTGAATAACTCGAGAACACAAGCAGCTAGAGACCTACGGCTTTCACCAGTCGAAAGAGGAGATCGGGGGACGTTTTTTCTCTAATAATGTACGAGAGGAAATCCTTTTAAAACTAATTATTTTCGAAAAACATATAAAAGGAGGCATGAAAATGACCTGTCATCTAGATGAAATTTTGATTTTGACCTTTGATTTAGATAGAGAAACTCCAAATCTATAGTTCAAAATACAATGCAAATTGGTTCTCTTATTACATTCTAACGTTGAGCAAAGTGAATCATGTATTTACATACGCAAATAATGGGGATTTTTGCTAATTTTTTATTAAGTTTTCTCATTTTTTATCATAGTAGCTTGACATTTCGAAGGAAATGTAATGAAAAGTGAGGGAACACGTTATATCTTAAAATATAGATTTGCGGTCCCTCTATCTAAATCAAAGGTCAAAATCAAAATTTCATCTAGATGACAGGCCATTTTCATGCTTTCTTTTATATGTTTTTCGAAAATAATTAGTTTTAAACGGATTTCCTCTTGTACATTATTGAAGAAAAAGACGTCCTCCGATCTTCTCTTTTGATTGGTGAAAATCGCAGGTCTCTAATTGCTTGCATTCTCAAGTTATTCAAAAAATAGTGGAGGGCATTATATTTTGAAATGAACAATAGTTTTTATTTGTTTAAAGTTTGTAAATCGTTCTTCTCGTACTTTTTTTCTTTAATTTTCTTCATACATTTTCATTATGCCATACATCAGCAAAGGACCCTGCCGGATAAGATCATAAATCTGCCACCCCTCTAGATTTCAACTTCAATAGTGTAGAAAGATAGAGCATGAAATTCTGCACATTTTTGTATATTTATTTTTTTTTTTTGTCAATACCAAAAAAATTTTTTAAGGACGAAATAATCTCGGGGAGGTATATCAATTTTGGGTTTCCCAAATAATAATTATGGTATTCATAATTTTTCTTTTGTAAAATTTTTATGAAAACTAATAGTGTAGATCGATAGAGTTTTTCGTGCTCTACAAAATGGTATAAATAGATAAATTTCAAATTGTTGCAATCAGGGTCTATAAGACTCACAAATGTAAGAACATATACAAAAAACATATTAAACGATTATTTTTGATAAGTTTCAAATGAGTTTTCTGGCTAACGATCATTTGCACAAGATGACGACTACCATAGAAAAATTCCTCGTCATTTGCTCTACAAAATGGTGTAAGTTTGAAGGAAAAAATTATGGTCCCGAATATAAGATATTCGATGATTACTTTTGAGCACTCGCTATTTTACTTGTATATCGATGTTTTTTTGGAACAGATGTAACA